AATAAACACAATTTTAAATATTTTAAAAGGGATGCAATTTAAATTCTTGCTACTTGTTTCTTTTTATAATATCTTTATAAGATCATCTGTCTTACCTGCAAGCCTTTTAAATAGGCTGTCAGAAATGCAGACCAGTGCAGTATTTTTAGTATAGATACACTGATGAGACAAAATATAGTGACCATCCGTACATTTTTCATTGAACTCGTGTGGATTACTTGGAGGGCACATGATTAAGTGGGAATGTTATTTATCTGCTGCTGGAGAAGGTAAGGAATCATTCTTGTACTTTTGCGTTTTTGATGGGATGGGAGATGGGAAAGGCTGCTGATCTAAGCAAATTTGACAGAGGGCCCGAAGACTCGAAATGAGTATTTCCGAAACTGTACGACTATTAGGTTGTTCATGATCTGCTATTGTTAGTATTTATGCAAAGTGTATACTGTAGAACCAGCAGTAAATGCCAAGGTATTGGATATCCATGTATCATCAAAGAAAAAAAAAAGCCGTCGGAGACTGTCCTGCTTGGTACAGCAAAATCGGCACCAGACAGTGTATTAGCTGATAGTCCAAGTGCAGGTATTTCAGAAACACATGGTTTCTCTCTTCCTAATTGGGAATGGAATATTCCAGCAGGACAATGCCCATGCCACAAGGCTTAAATTGTGTGGGAATGGTTCAAGGAGCAGAAGGATGAATTCCCGTTGATGTCCTAGCCACCTAATTCATGGAATTTTAACCCAATAGAGCACATTTTGGATATCATGGAGCAGCAGCTCAGAGCTCAAAGACCACCATGTCAGAATATCTCGACTTTGCATAACCGCTGCTCAGACATACGATACAATCTGTCTTCAGTCATCTACCAAAGAATTATGGCATCCATGCCAATTCGAGTTGCAGCTGTTTCGCACAGACCAAAGGTTGAACAAAATTTTTTTATTGAGTATGTGGTCATAATGTTTTGGCTTTTCAGTGTATATAAAAAATATTTTATTTTAGTAGCATTTATTGTATTTGTTATTAATGAGACATTGGCAACTCTATACATACAAATAAGCATTTATAGTGAGTGTTACCAGCATGGGTCATGTAGTATATTTTGTTTAGCAAATCTTAAACCATAAGAATAATAAGTTGGGATTACATGAATAGTTATATACAGTCAAAAGTCGTTAATTCGGACACCCATAATCTGGAATGATCTATAATCCGGACTTCAAAGCTACAAACTTTCTGCGCATGCGTCGTGTTGACGCATGCTTGTAAGACCTTTACGGCTGCGAATATGCTGGTGCGCGTGCGCAAAATACATTTACGAGTGTGCGTTTAGTATATAATGGACAGTATAAGCTAAGCTAAAATTATCTAATTATCTATTTCATTTAATGTTGCAGATTGCATTGTTCCTTAATCTTCGAATTGGATCCGGCTTATTATTTTTTGCAGACTGTTAGAACAATTTTATAAAAGTAAGCTTGAACTTTCGATTATGTCAAATAGAATTTCCGATATATATTTACTAATATGTAAAGGATCTACAAAGCAAAAGTATGTTTCGAAGTCCATTAAACAAAAAGTGGAATTGCTGCAAAAAATGGATAAAGGCATATCCTTTGTTTATCCAAACTTTAATGCTTGTTTATCTTTAACATGCAATGAATTGGAAGTTGATCTGTCAGCACTATCCTTATCTTCAGGGCAGATGTTTTTATTTTATTTGGCTTAAAACGTTTTAAGATTGGTTCTTTTTACTTCCTTGTACGAAGTAAAAAGGAAGTATTGTAATCGCGAAAAGTTTCAGGCAACATATTTCAACGAAAATATCCATTTTGACCGCTATCGAATACAATTTAACAACGTTTTTGCGTGATATCTGTACGTAAGGACAGAATAAAAGACTCATTTCCTCAAAAAAAATTATAAATCTGTTTTAAAATGAATTCTGAAGAGAACTTTTCGTGGCGTATGTACGTACGTACGTATCTCGCATGACTCAAAAACAAGTAGCCTCAGAACATTGAAATTTTGTATATAGGACTGCTATAACATGTAGATGTGAACCTCGTATTTTGGTTGCAATCGGCTGCACCAAACGTATATAATTATATTTATATATATATATCCACTCTGTTACTAGGCTCAGTGATCTCAGTTTCTTTACTCTTATATGTTTGTAAATTGTACATTTTTTGCTTTAAAAATGATTGAATTATGTTGTTTTTATCTTCCGGTTAAGGTTTTTATGCCTTTAGTAAATCTGTATGCAATATTTTTAGAATTATCAGATTTTTAAAGTTGTTTAAGTGCCGCTAAGCCTTTTTTTATGGCGACCAGTTGATGTTTACATTTGAAACAGCAGGACTAGTGGATTTGTTGCCAATCTAGAGAAACTTAGCTTCGTAACAAAACAAAGATAATGCCTTCATTTATTATTGCCAATTAAATCATGCTTAATCCTTCTGGAATTTTTCGAGGAAATAAGTTTTGACTTCGTAATTTTTAATATAGATATTTTGAGTTTTTATGTATTTTTGCCTTCTCGCGAAGTGAGAAACTGAATTAATTGAATGAGAAATATTCAATCGTCTGTGAAAAACTGTTTCTTTTTTGTTTTGTTTGCTTAATTTCTTTTATACATCATTCTAGCTTTATTTTATTATAGTATTTGAATAGAACATGTGGCAACGATTAGATAATTCTATTCTTTAAATGATATAAATTTTGTGCATCATGAGTTATAATATGAATGAAATATAATACTGTTAAGTGAATCTAGCGCCAGAGTGTCGCTATGGTAAACAAATAGTAGAGTGAATTTTAAAGAATGCATTTATTCTATTGTGGTTTATGCGCTGTCGGCGAAGTAGATTTAATTCAATCCGATAAGTTTAAATGAAATGCAAGAAAAAATGCATATAATTTAGTATTCCGTACAAGGAAGTCATGTGGTGTACACATCAGATTTTTTATTTTCAAGAAGGTAGGAATGCTGTCCAAGCCAAATATATATATATATATATATATATATATATGTATATATGTATGTAAACACTGCCTAAACTAATTTTCAAAATTTGGATATTGAAAATGCACCATATCTTGGAAGGGCATTTGAAGCTGATGAAGACAAAAGTATTGATTGAAGCAAACTACTAAATAATAGCAAGAAACTTTTGTTAAATTCAGCCACTGCATATACATGTAAAATGACTGAGTTTCATTTCAAAGCTGGATATATGGTTTTCTTCAAATGTTCTTTAAAAAGATATTTGCTCTGTCACATTTATGTCTGTGATTTGCTTCTCAAGAAATTGATACATTTTTTAATAGTAAATGTTTGTAAAAAATGAATTGTTTACAGCAGTCGAATGCAGGCGGTCATGGGATAGAAGAGATGACCCACTCAGAGCACTTCAAAAGCAATTAAGTGATATTATCAAACAAAAGGTGTAGCTGTGTCATGATAGTGTCAGAGCTCACACAAATTTAGTAACTTGTCAGAAGCTGTTAAAGTTTGAATGGGATGTGCAACCTCATACGCCACATTTGTCAGATCTGACACCTTTTAATTATTGCTTGTTCTAGTCCTTTACAAAATTTTTTAAATGGGAAAACATTAACTTCAGAATAAGGGCATCAAAAATCCTTGGATCAGTTTTTGTAAGCAAATATCAGAAATTTTATAAGCGAGCAAAAGTGCTCTTTTCAGAAAGATGACAAAAAGTATTAGACCAAAATGGTCACTTTATTTATATATTATATGAAAAATTCCCCCTTCCCATGGAAAATATGAAGTTACTTTCTGAACAACCTAATTTCTGAACATTGTTACGAAATGCTTGTTGCATTAAGATAGCTTCCTCGCTAGGGTTGCCAGAAAGTGGCAAGGAAAGGCAGAGATTTGGCATAAAATCACCCATTTGGGGGCAAAACTGGCATATGTCATGGACGGAGCGAGAACATTGTAAAACAAAATCTTACTGGTTTTTTTCCAGAATGTTCTCGGAAGCAGGTTAAAAGCTATAAATACGCCTCTATGTGAAGTAGCAGTTTATCGTAAAGAGTGTGTTGAGTTCAGAGATAAGCTTGAGAGCAGTCAACTGAGTTGGGAGCTGTACTTTAGTGTTTTGCCATGAAGCTGTCTTCACCGTTATAGCCTGAAGGTTGTGCTGCCGATTGTTTCAGCATGTTTATCATAGTTTTTCGACTACTGAAACACATCTTTGGAACTGCCCAGTGTAATACTGATGAATAAATTGTGTTTTGATTCTTCATCAAGTGTTGTCATCAATCACTCTAAATCCAGGAACTGGTAGAACACAACATTTATTTCAAATAGCTGTATAAATAAAGAAAACAGATTTAAATTAGATGAAATTTGGGTTACATATGTAAAAAATTTTGTGTTCCAATTTAAATGCATATTTTGAGGAAGGGAGTTAAATGCTTATGTCTTAATTTTAAAATTTAAAATGTAATTTGAGTTAAAAAGAATATTGTACTTATTGAGATTTTGATACAGGCCATTGCATTTTCTAATTCTCCAAATAAGTGCAAGAACTTTTATTGTAGAGAATTATTTAATTGCATTGTTGTAAAGGTAAGAAATAAAACAAAAGGGTTTTTTAATAGTAATTAAGTATAAATTATATGTAAATAAATACAAAATTGTACAGAAATATGTATGCATTTGCAGAGTGCTTACAATCAATAATGGCTTTGGTAACTATTATAGAAAAGGAGTTTTGCACACAGCTTGAGAGTCTCTGTAGCTAAAGTTTTGAAATATTATATACCATTTGTCATTAAATATTTTTATAACTGCCCATAAACTTTCCAAATACTACATATTAATACAATTTTGTTGATATTATATTGCTTTATTTAGAGGAATTTCTACAATTGAGAGTATTTATGACAGAAGGTGCATATTTCTGTTTTGAACATATTTCATTTTATTGGAAGTGATTGAATCTAAAATAAAGTTTTTGTTATAGGATTTAGTAAAGAGTCATTTAATGTTTGCTGTAAGAGAAGAAGTAGATGTTCTAAAGGAAAAAATTACGGAACTAATGGATAGAATATCACAACTGGAGTATGAAAATGGATTTTTAAGGGCTAATGCCAGCCAACAGACTTTAGAGCAACTCAACCAATCTCAACTTCTTCAACAGCAGCAGCAACAAAATCAGCCTTCTACAGTTTCTATGAACTCATTTCCTCAACAGTCTGTTCCTCAGCAGCAAATAAATATTCAAAATCAGCAGTCAACTTCATAACAATGATTAAATACTTTTCAAATAGTACTTTAATAAATACTGTAAATGTTTTTGGTAGTTTTGCATGATGGTCAGTATAGAAATCTGATCCGGAATTATTCTATTTTATATCTGTGTAGTACTAATTTTTTTTTTAATAAAAATTTATTTGGTGTATTTGAATTTCTTTGGTCCCACAGTAGCAAGAATTAAGTTAATTTCTTTCCTTGCTTAAAAATTAATGAATTTTCATTTTTGCTTTTTAATATTTTAGATGTAAATGCAAAAATGGTGGTTTATTAAATCAATTATTGTAAGACAATTGAATTAATCTTCATTTTTGCATGTACAATATTTTAACTGCCTTTCACAAAAAGCTTAAAAGAATAAACTCTTTAAAGCTTGAAGATTACAGTCCTAGAACTCGTATAATATCTAATATACAGTTAATTAAATATAAATTATTTATATGTGCACTACTGATTTCTTGATTATTAGATCATTAGTTATACTATTAAAAAAACTCAGCTGCAAATTATAGTGGCTACACCATATGCAATACTACCAGATGCTGTTACTCATAGACATAGTCTAAAGCATAGAAGTACTTTAAAGAAATGTTTTTGGATTCTCATACCAAGGTAATCTCTTCATTAAAAATATTTGTTAAAAAGCATTTCTAGATCTGTTGCTTGCAAATAAGATGCTTAGAAAAATTACTGGAATAATTCATTAGTAATATTGTAAATTATGAAGATTGTCTTTTATAATGCTTTTTGTAAGATAAATTTTTTAAAATAGCTATGTAGAATTTTTACCTATCTGCAAGAAATAAAACCTTTTTTGGTTTGATTATTTATCACACATTAGAAATACTGTTGTGCTTGTGTATTTATGTATGTTTTAATCAACATAGAAAGATCTGTTCTCTTAAAGACCTTAAATAGTAGCCATATCTGTATTTTTTTTATATATATATATACTATATACATAGCTGCTATTTAAATGTTCATAATGGGATATGTTGATTGTAATTTATTTTGATCAGTATTAATTATTTGGTTTGTTATGCTTACAGTGTTAGTGTATGCTGGTCTTACACGAATGCTTTGTTCGAAAAAATTCATTCCTTTAGTGTGAACGAACAATGTGCCACAATTTATGTCTGTGTCATGTCTTTGAAAGAGTGTGTGCGAGAAAAAACGGCGCTCCAGGTGGACCAATGCAAGATGTACAGGAAACTTTTGTATTTCATGAAATACTGTTAAACAAGTGAACTGTGTCAAATTCTTACACTGTCAAGTATGCGTGTAAAGAGTGTTTTCGGATTAGATGCAAAAATGCTTTGTATAGGGACTAATTTTCTCAATAAGAAAAACAGGTCTGTCATAATACGCCTTATAGGTTACAAATTGTGATAAAATTAAATACTGTAGAGGTTGTGGTATTGTATATTGTAACCTTAAACATGCCAAGCGAAATTAAACAACCACTTAAGAATGTGATAAGTGTATTAAATTCAAAGAATCTTTCCTATCTTCAGTCTTGTTTTTCTTTCTGCACTAATTTGAAGCTAAGTCACTTGAAATAGAACATTCCTTACACCTTACGTTGGTGCTCAGTTCATGGGTGCACTTTTATTTCTCAACCTATTAGGTGCTATTGTGATCATCAGTTTTACCGTTCCTAATCACAAGTATTTTGTACTGTGATGTATCATATGTAGCTCTCTGCTTTCTGTAGAATTGACATTCTAAAAGGGCTTATGTATTATATTAGTATGTAAAATGATACTGCATTGAGGCAAAGGAGCTGGGCCAGTTTTATAAGTCTTTTTAAGGAGCATCTGTAGATAAATGCTATGACATCTAGCTTGAATACTTACTCTAAGGACTCCTCTGCTTCAATGTTGGAAATGCAACTGTTTCTTTCTTTTACAGTGTGATATAGTCATCAGCTTGTACAATAAAGTTCTATGATTCTGACTTAAATCATTTTGTCTTTATGTAAATCTTTAGTATTTCACTAAAAATTTAATTCTGTGAAATTTATTCTTTACTATAAATATTTTATTTAATGTGACTTAAGTACCCCTAATTACAGGTAATTATTAAACAATTTTTTAATGTAAAAAGATTCAATAAAAATAATTATATTTTGAATACATGAAACATTTTCTGAATTTTGATTATACAGAATATGCCTAGCATCATTAATGATGTACTTGAATTCCTAGGTGTATATAAAATTGCATTCAAATGACTGAATAAAACTTTAGGTTAATAAAACTCAGTATTTGTTATCTGATGATCCAGTTATTTGCATCTTAACTTCGCTACTTATCTTTTACATGATTATTGTACAAATTGCTAGTGTCTGTATTACAGAACAATAAAATTTGACAAGAAATTGCCAGCGAAAAATTACAGTTTTAGTATTCTCCATATATTCTGCTCATGTGACTTCAAGTTATCAATGTAAAATGCATTAATTAAAGGAAAAAAATAGTTTTCTTCAAGCAAAGTAATATAGCACTACAATAAGTCAATATTTCTGAACTTTGTTTGCTACTAATAATGCATAAAGAAAAATAATTTTATTTATCAAATGAGAAGGTGTCTTACAAAGGATTACATAATTTTCTTCTGCAGTATATGGAAATCTTGTATAAAAATCATATTAATTAAAGTGATTCTTCTGATTGTAAATTAGGAGTTTAAAATTTTTTACCTTTATTTATGTAAAACAAACTGTGTTGTATAATTATTGTTTTATGAATTTCTATTAAACAGCACAGTAAACATATTTACTGTAAAACAAAAAAGTTATATTAAATTATTTTTGTAGATATTTTGAAATACTTGCCTTTGGAAATATTTTCAAAATTAAATGATATTACTACTTCATGTAATAAACTATTATAGTCTGTGTATTTTTAAAAATAACAGAATTTTTTAACTGTATCTTTAATCCCTAAATTAGTAGATATTATTCTGTTAATATATATCGTATGTTTATATAATAAGGTATTTTATGTTAATGAACCAGTATTTATTATTTGTAGCTTTACTGTGATTTCTAATTTTTGTTAGCCCTCAACAGGATGCAAATGAGTTTAAGGTACAGATTTTGAATGTGTTAAATACAGTCAAAAGTCATTAATCTGGACTCGTCGGGACTTCGGCGATTCCGGATTATAGATCATCAGTTTAAATCTGGTAAGATGGCATGCAGAAATTATAAAATTAAAAATATGAAACCATAATTTATGAAATAAAGAACAATTATGATCTAAAGGGTATCAAAATTTACAAAAAAAGAAAAGCTTAATATTTATTTGTTCACTTTATTAAACATTTCTTTCAATGTAAGTTGTTTAAGTTGCTTCGTTTTTTATGTGATAATACATTCTCTTTAATTCTATAAACAGACATAATTTCTTGTTCAGTTACAAAGTTCCGCTGTTCAAGTCCTATAATTGCTGTGTCTACCGACTAATTTGTCAATTGAAATTTTTTCGTTTTCAATAACCTCTGTCACTTTCTTCGCTATCGGAAGCGAATTATAATGACGAGGAATTTGATTTAAATCATATCAAAGACGAAGTACATCGAGATGAAATACTACATTTAGTAAGGAATTATAAGCCAAATAAAATAAAAACATCTGCCCTGAAGATAAGGATAGTGCTGACAGATCAACTTCCAATTCATTGCACGTTAAAGATAAACAAAGTTTAGATAAACAAAGGATATGCCTTTATCCATTTTTTGCAGCAATTCCACTTTTTGTTTAATGAACTTCGAAACATACTTTGCTTTGTAGATCCTTTACATATTAATAAAAGTTCAAGCTTACTTTTATAAAATTGCTCTAACAGTCTGCAAAAAATAATAAGTGGATCCAATTCGAAGATTAAGGAACAACGCAATCTGCAACATTAACTGAAATAGATAATTAGATCATTTTAGCTTAGCTTATACTGTCCGTTATACATTAAACGCGCACTCGTAAACGTATTTTGTGCACACGCACAAGCATATTCGCAGCCGTAAAGGTCTTATGCACATGTGTTAACGCGATGCATGCGCAGAAAGTTTGTAGCTTTGAAGTCCGGATTATGGGTGTCCGAATTAACGACTTTTGGCAGTGATGCTAGTCACAGTAAAGCTTTTATTATTTATCGCCAAGCTCTGCCAATTAATATTCTGCCATCAGCCATTTTCTAGCCCAAGTTAAACCATGCCAGAATTTGAGCCAGCTTTGTTTGGCCAAATTTATTACTTAGTTAAGACAGCTTACCATAAGCACAAGAGGACAGGATCCAACCTTTGTCAAAACTAACTGTAAAATTTATAATTATTCATAGGTCTGAGTGATTTAGGTATAAAATACTAAATTTTAAAATTATCTCATTATTATGATAATTCAGATGTTCCGAGAAGTGCACACAGTTTCCTTATGAAAACCCACATGTACGAGGAACTCTTGAAGAAGAAGTTCTATAACATAGAACAAATGACCGTGTAAATGGAATCAATAAGGACTACCGAAAAATGCATTAATATAGAAAATTAGATTACTAAGAATAACTATAGGTCATTAGCATTTTCTGGAGAGTAGTAGTTATCTATGGGATTATGCTATTGGTATTTTTCCTGAGGCCTAAAGGGAAATTTTGGGTCATGAGATGTTAGTAGTCACATAGCTGGGTAATACTCAATTCCTAGTGAATTTATTTACCTCAGAATGCAGTTATGAGTTATTTGAAACTGTGATTGATGCAGCAGAAGTATGGGCAAGCATGAGAAAGCATGTGAGGCAAGAGAGTTTTGTATATGAGGAACATGTCAGTAGATCAACAAAAAGTTTCCTGTAGCCGAGTGTAATGTAATGTCAATACATAAAACGTTGGGTAATAAAGAGGTAGAGTTTTACTTCATGTGACCAGATTTTCTGAACTTCTGTGTATAGGGACCATGAAAGGTTACGGTCAAGGATCATCCCCTAATAAGTGACTTGCTCAGGGCAACATGATTTCATGAAGGCTAAGATTGCCAGTGATTTTCTTTTTCTTAGTGAAGGTAATTGCTGTTGATTTGTCCACATTAATTTCTTGATTATTAATTGATACATTAATTTTAGGACTTGATGGTTGGGAGCCTGAAAATTCCATGCCGAATAATTAACGAATGAGGGCTTGTAGCAGTGGTCATACTGTTCCTTTAAAGTTTTTTTCTGACATTTCCATCTGTTCTTTGGAGTAATGTCTTTAATGGGTTAACATTTGAATTCTTAACTACTTAAAATAAAAGATGAATATTCGAGCTTTAGTACATGAAATGCTGTATACATTGAAGCATAAACATTTCAAAATTATTTCTTTTTTGTGAATGAAGAGAAATATTACATCAAAAAACTTTTCCCTTTTTGAAATATGATTTCTTTTATTAAGTGGCACTAAATTTAGTGACTTATCAACATTATGGCAATTTCAAGCTCAATTTGTATAAAAGTTTTTTATGGAGATCTGCGATTCTTTTGACAATATTTTTTACAAACATAATAACATGGATAAACATCATAAAAATAATGATAATATATTAAAATTATGTTTAAAGAAAAAACATTAAAATAAAGCATTTCTGTTTTCAAGTGACATTACTTACCATTTTTGTTACTTGGAAATATTTTGATTCTGAAAAATAAACAAAATAATAAATGCTATAAATATAAAACATAGTTTCCGAAACACTTTCGAGAGGTAAAAACTACTGTAATTACCTCTAAATTAATTTCCTTTTTCATCTTTTATATTTTTTCATTATAAAAGTTATTTCTCATATAATTGTGTTGGAATATTTAAATGTGTATCAGTTTTCACTTGAGATGTATCTATTAATGTTTATGAGCTTCTCTCACTTTACACTTTCCTTTTCAAAAATCTGCCTTTTTGCTGTTAAAGATTTGCTAGGGCTTTTAGACCTTGCACCTCAGAAGGATTTAAAGGCAAGACTTATAGACCTATGATTCCAGAAAAATGTGACGATAGGAAAAATGTTTTCATATTATTAATGTGTTTTATAGGAAATTTGTGATGGATTTCATTTCTTTTGGAAGAAAAGTAAAAACAAAATTATTAGAATTTTCTCCTTTTGACCCCAGAAGTCTTTCTCTTAAAGATGTTTTATCTTCTTTTTATTTTCTTATCTTTCCACAAGCACAAGCAATCAAAGAAATGGAAAGCCGATAATTTATTAAAAGATTCATCTTATGTCTTAGTGTACCATACATACCTCAGGGCCTGCCTTAAACTTAAATTCTAAAAATGTTGGCATCACTAGATTTTGTAGCTTGGTGCATAACTAAATTTTAAAAATTCTGCCATGCTGACTCTGGTGCTGTCACTGATTTTATATCACTTCATATTTATTCTCAATACTCATATTATTAAAGAAATAAAATTGGTAGTTTCTTCTATTCGTTCTAAGTACAAGCGCTTCTTTAACAGAAATCTTTAATAAAATTTGAAAATTCTAAAATGAAGAGGAAACTCCTTAAAGAAGAAACTGATTTTATAAAAGATAGGAAATTATTCTTCAAAGGTACATTGTTGAAACTTTAACAAATTAGGAGATGAAGAGGAGACTAGTGCAAACGATTTATTTATTGAAATAAATAAACTTGGAAAATATGCTGAAGAGAAGGAATTTAAAAGATGCATAAATATTTTTATTATTTGTTGCCACTACAAAACATAAATGTTTTGTAGCTTTTAATGTAACATTACACTACTATCATTTTAGAATCAATATAATAAATTATACTTGCTGTAAAATGCTCTTAAATGCTTTCTTAATGTATATTTGTTAGAAATTTAAAAAAAAAAAAAAAATGTAACCCTGTAAATCTATTATGACTAAGGATATTTAAGTATAGAATTTTAATTTTTGTAACTAACTAACTGCTCATCCTTAAAAGTTATCTGTAC